TTTCATTTATGCACAGTCCCTTGTTTTTACACATGCTGTTCCCTCACTGAATTCTCTTCCTTTTATCCCCTACCTATTAAAGTCTCTCTGTCCAACTCAGCTTGACTATAAATTAGAGGGGTAATGGTGCTGTGATTATGTATTTTTTTTAAGTGTCCCTATCTTTTACAAATTGATGTTGAAATGACCAAAGAAGAAATATGTGATGTCTGGGAATTGCTTCTAAATAATTGAGTCTGAAAATGGGCGAAGGGGGTTGGAATACAGAGGAAACAGCCTTTAGCCTGATGGAAGAAAGCTGGATGGTGACTTCACAGAGATTCACTACACACTTTCTCTATTCTTGTATATTTTAAAATTAAAGGTTCTAGACAACTAAAAGCTGAAGACATTCCAGTTCAAAGGCAGAGGAATTAATGCCCTTTCCTCCTTTACTACACTCTGCTCTGTGCTACCTGCCACTACCTGCTGATCCCAAGATGGTGAACTCTCTGAGCACAGCATTTTCCAGCAGACTTTACATCTAACTAACACTTGGTGTCATCTACTGAAGTGATCTGGAAAAGACCAAAGAGACTAAAGGAAGCATCTTCCACTCTTACTTTCCCTGATCAAAGTTAAATGCGAAAAACTCATCATTTCAACTATGCCATATACACTCAGGCTATCTGTAGCTTTTAACTTCAGTAAGCCAAACTAAAAGCAGAAAAGAACCATTTGCTTCAACTTTCCCAGTGTCAACAGTGGGTAAGAAGACAACGGTTTTGCTCCTAAAAAGGAGATGGCTAGTTTAGCCTCTATTACTGACTTCAAAGTCACCAATATTTTAAACCACCATCATTGTCCCAGTGGAATCAGGGTGGTTATCAGCTCTAGATATCTGGCAGAATCAGGTATCTGTTCATTCCTATTCATCCAGTACTTAGCTACAACATATCCTTTCTAACCTAAAAGAAGAAAAGATAAAGGTTTCATTCATTCAGTAATGTTAATTAACACATTAGGGTTTGGGTGGTTTGATTTGAGAGAGGAAATCAAGAAGTCCCAATCAGGTAGCTCTGCTTTCCAATTTGAAATGTCTTAAGTGCCTCCAAAAGACAAGCGAATTCACACTGCTATATTTAGTAAAAGTTTCTCTCAGCCCACATTATATAAAATGAAATTAAAAACCCTGCTACTGAAAAATGGATAGCTTTTTAAAGAACAAAACTTAATGCATTGAGTATAATACTACCATCCTGAACTGGAATGAAGAAATCTCATTTTCTGGGCCTACCACTAACAGCATATACTAAGCAAGATCAGCTCTCTCCCAAGTGATCATCCATCTCTCGTGCTGCCTATCAGCCCCCACACTACTCTTGGACCTGAGAACTTGCCCTGTGTCTTCTATGCCAGGCAATCAATCTTAATATGCAAAAAAACTCGTTACCCTAACAAAACCAAAAAACACACTTCTAATTTCCACGTATCTTCTGATAACACATTTAGTCCAAACTCCAGGAATATTTCTCACTAATTACTATTAGTCTGTCCATTTCAATTCCTATTCCTTGAGTCCAGTCTCAAAAACCTGCATGAGCAAATAACCAGATCAGAAAACAAAATATGCCTCGCCATTAAAAAGAACAAAGTAGGCCCTCCCTGGTGGCGCAGTGGGTTAAAGCACTGCACTACAAAGCTTAAGCCACTTCCGCATGAGTTCGATTCCCGCCTGCCCCGGAGGAGTCCACATGGTGTGGCAGACCTCTCATGACCCGCCCGCTGCTCCCCTCAGCAGTGGATTTTGTCGATCTGCCTGTTCTGCTCCCCACTCTGTCTCTGGTGAATCCTCTCACCCTCCACATCTCTGGCCTGTACCCCAGTTCTATATGAATAAATAAATAAAATCTTAAAAAAAAAAAAAAAAAAACAAAACCTCAAAACCTCTTGACATATTTATGCAAACTGAGAAAGTGAAGAGAAAGGGTAAAATGAGGTGAAGAAAAACAATATACTTTGCTTAACAGTGCATATGTATGTATGTATGATTTTTTTTTATGTATCTGGGCAAGTATACATATAAACTTTTAAACAAAATGAATTAAGACTATTAAACACATTCAATTGTAAAGTGAAAGGAACTTCCATTCTCAGAAAATATCATAAATACTATGTTGGCAAAATTCACTGACGCTGCTATAAGATGGTAGAAGCAAGTTCCTAAATTCCCCTTGAATATGGGCTGGGCTTAGCACTAGCTTCAAATGTATCAAATGCAGAATAAGTGATACTATGTGACTTTCCATGCAATTAGGGGTTTCAGTGAATTAATATGAATGAGAATTTAATTATAACAATGTATCACCTGTGTTTACATGGAAACTTTACTTTCATAAAACCTGGAAAATAAAAACTTGTTTAGATGTTACCAAAATTCTCAAAGGAATTTTGAGGAATAAGGAATAAGATGAAGGAAATACAGAGTGGTTTGCTTATTCATTTTGAAAACCAGAATTAAAATATGGGAATCCCAAGAGAGTAGTACTCCAATTGCCTTATATGAACACAAGCTTTTAGAAAATAAATGTCTTTCTGAGAATTCTTTCTGTGATTCGTTTTTTGTGACCAAGTGAATGCTATAGTGACCACTCTAGTGCAAGAGCCCAAACCAGACAGATCCACACTAGTTAAGAGGCTTCATCTTGATCCTAATACCTAGAGTGCCAGCAAAAAAGAATAAACACACAACATTTACAAACTGTTTCATCTGTTCCTCCCAATAACCTTGAGTAGTCAGCCAGATAGCTAGCTGCTTTTACACCTTTCCGCTCTGGTAAGACTGAGGTAAATAATCTCCAATCACAGGCTTTTTTTTTTTTTTTGTAAAAGGAAGGATTGAATTCTTCTGGTGCTAAGTCCATTCGATGCTACCAGTACATAAACAGAATAAACAGTCTAGATTAAATGGCAACTGCTGTCTTATGTTATCTCTTCTTAAAATGAACAAAAAGTAAAACTCACTGGAAGACACCAAGGGCTTAAGTCTCATAATAAATCTACCTTTGGTCCCACCAAACATACATGCAAAGTGAAAATCAGTTTACAATTATCTAAGCCTAGACCTACACTTTATATAGAAAAAAATTTTCACTTACTGTACACTGAATTTTGGAATATAACTACTATGGAATAGAAGACTGCACGTTGTTTTGTGTAGAACTTTATCAAGATTTCGCCACCATTCTAGAAAATCATATCACCAAAGACATTGCCACATGTCATTTGAGTCACCAATGCAGTACAGCCTTCCGGGCGTCGCATTCCAAGATAAGCCATGTGCGCCTGCTGGCGCCTCAAGGCCCTGTTTCCAGCGTGCTGTGAAAATGCATACATATATGTCTTCTGAGAATTTACATATAGCAATATATACATTTAATTACAAATAAAAATCCTGTTATTTTTCCTCTATACTACAGTAAAGACCCTTTAGACATGTCCTTAAATTTTACTATCTGGGAAATTCATTACAGGCTGACAGTGTTGAGAAGCAGTTACAAACCACCAATCTATCAAAAGACTTGTAAAGAAAATTAATCCTAATTCCGGAACTTTGTGTGTTTTTTTTTAAATGCTACTCACATGACCCAAATCACAAGTAACACATTTATGTAAAGTGGGGGGGGGGGAGAAGAAGAAATCCAGCTGCCTTTTTCAAGTGCAATTGCCTAAATAAATCTATCATAAACTGGATTTAAACATGGTGAGCAGAGAAAGAAGGAATTAAGTCCAAACTACAAGATCTAACTGAATCCCTTTCCTTTTGAATCAGAGAGCCCCAGCTTGGCACTCACAAGCAAAGGGCTCCATTATTTTTCTCATCTCTTTCAAAAACAGCTCCCCCTTCAAGATCACACAAATTAGATCATTCTGCAGCAGGGTTCCTCCTTACAGAAAAGCTCCCAGGAAGCACAGACAGGCTGTCTACTGCAGCAAACCAGTCATTTAGAAGAAAAAATAAACAGATGTTGTTGACTTTTCAGATTCACTAAGTTAGTGCAGAGGATACATGCTGTATAGTTCTTCCTGGCCTCAGCTCCAGATCTCTCCCACCAAAACCATCAAAACAGTAAGGGTTAGAGAGGAGAGGCCAGACCAAACACATACGACAGCAGAATACATAGGGATGTTGATACTTAGCAGCCAATAGCTTTCTCGTGGCCTAGAGTATTAAAAGAATTTATCTAGATTTCTAACACATCGGAAGCCAACCTCCTGACTATTCCCTCACCCAGTAAGGTACCAAGGAAATTCAACCTCAATTAAATGCCAGTGGCAGCAGTGAAAACACAGTCTCTCAAGATAGAGAACAGTAATACTTTCTGTAACAACCAGAAAAGGGACACAAAGAAATTAAATGAAAATATGCTATCATACTTAAATCCTTTTGTTCTGTTATATAACCCAAATCCAATCCACAGCATATCGTTTAGGCTTAGAAACACACCCAGAATCTGACCATTCCTCACTCTCTTCCCATCTTACCATCCTGTCCACATCAGCTCTTACCACGTCATCACGACAGGCCTGACTGGATCCCACACTCCAGCAGCTGGCCTAACCACAGCGGCCAGGAGCTACCTTAGTCTGTAAGTCAGTTACATGCCTCCTCTCTAGCTTGAAGGCCCCAAAGGTTCCTATCTCGTTCAAGGCCAAAGCCAGAGTTCCACAGTGGCCGCCTACACCATCTGATCATCTTTACTTTTCCAGTTTTCTCTCCCTTTAATCTCTGCCTTGTCTACTTGGTCCCAGTCCACTAACCTCCTGGATGTGCCCAGTGCCATCAGTACTTGCTATTCCCAGCCCTTGCCTATCCCTACGCTCCACAAGGACAGTTCGCCTTCTCCGACTTCCTGCAGCTGCCTGAACTGAAAGCAGCACACTACTGTTTCCTACTCAACCCCTTCCCTGCTCTAATCTTCCCATCTGACATACCTAACACCAAGTTCTCGTTTACTTACTGTTTGCCGCCTGGAAGGTAATCTCCAGAGAGGTAAGGTTTGTCTGGTTTCTGGCTGCTCTCTCCTCATGCCTGCAGTGGTAACTGACAGAAGTATGTTCACTAAGTATCTACTGACAAAATGAAGCTACCAGGAAGTGGAGAGGAAGAGTCCCAGAAACCTGTCCAGAGATAAGGCCAAAAGAGAAGCTGAATCTGAAGTCCAAGCACCTTTGGCACATGGTTTTTGAGAAATTACAGGGAATTGCTCACTTTTCCTCCAGGTATGTTATAATAGGAGGAAATACCTGAATGAGCATCCAACAAAACACAAATAGAGATATCATCTCAAACAGTTATTTTTCTAGAAAAGATTCTCTCAAATGGACTCAAAAAAGGACGCTTCACACACTGAGATGTGGTACTCATTTCTCAGAGAGGCCGCCTGAAAGTTGGGTCCTTCGGGAATATCAGTAAACACGTCACTTGGCCTAAGTCCAAAACACACCAAACTAATCTTATGTAAAATCTCAGATTGTGTCCCATTTCCAGCCCAACTTTGCTTCCCCAATGAGATACTTTCTCTTGTTCCCTGGAGAGAAAAGTCAACCAAAAAGATAATGGCCAATGTTTAATAATATTATAGCTATTCCTTTCTCTAAGTTAAAAAAAAAAAAAGGAAAGATAGAGGGGATTATCTACAAGTAATAAAAACAAAGCAAAATATTACACAGTTAATGAACAAGTCTCCCCATTGGAGGCAAAGGCATAAACAATTTATTGCACATTTTGGTGGCAGAGAGGAAACAGCATTAAATCCATTAACAGCCACAAGAGCTTTTATGTTCCCAGAGGACTCTGGCTTCCAGAGTTGCTTATTCATTTTCATCCAGCAATGGCACAGGCAGAGATGACAGAATGCCATAGACTACTTTCCACATATTTTAATTTTGAGGAGACAATTTGGTTAAACAACAGACTTAAGGTGGATTACACTACCACATTCCACTGGACACGCATGAAAGTGCCAACAAAAACCTACTTGGGAAGACAATGTGAGCGATGACTAATGTAAATCAGATCACCACAGGCTGCCAGGGTCGGGCCATCGCTTTCACGCCTCACCCACACTACCCAAAGATAATGGGTTCAATGAATACAAGTGCTCAAACATTTCATAAACATTTTGTTGCACTTCACATCAAGTTAACCAGCAAAGAAAGGGTGTCCTCACTTTTGGAAACCAGGGGGGAAAATGATTTGCCCAGAGGCAATCACAATAAATTCAGCCAGCACTAGATACAGGGCTTTACTTAAGAATCTACACACAGAACCAGACTCGCTCCTCTGTGTCTTCAGAAGGTCTCCACCTGCCTGCAACTTCAGAGGAGAACCTGCCCACCAGCCTACCTCAGGAGCACAGCCTTGACCGAGGGGGAAGCAGAATGGTGCTTCCTGTCCCAAGCAGCCCAGCAGGGAACCTCAGCCTTGGATGAGACTGCCCATTTCTCTGAGTCTCACATTCAGAGCTCATTTATTCTTTACACATTTGATTACCTAGTTTTTCAGCCCATGGAGAATTTGAAGGAACAAAGCAGAAGGAAGATATTTTGCCAGCAACAGGGAGAAACAAAGACAAAAACAAAACTAAAAAAGCAAACACAAGTTTAGACATAGTTACGCAGAACGTACCAGCCCACACTCTTCATTCCCAGCCCTGATGTTCACCACAAAGATCCCCTGTGTCATCATGACCCTCACCTGAGAAGAAATTAATCTGTGTTTACATTTTCTTAAGCAAAGACCAGAAACATGAAAATATATTTATAAATTTCCCACCAAAATGGGAAAATAAAGTCAGTGCTTACTAACAGGGAAAATGAATATACACTCAGAGATCCAAATGTTTCACTACAGACCCTATATGTAGTATCAGGTTTCTCCTGTGGAAGTTGAGCAAATTTTTCTACAGTTTGAGACACAAAAAGGAAAGCTTAAGGAGACAAAACCACCAGCATTATTGGAATCCTTATTTTCCTGAGTTGCTCAGCTTTTATTGGTGATAAATGACTAGCTGTAAACCAGTTTAGTTGCTCTTCTGGCTGCCAAAAAGAGCCGAAGAAGTCAGCAGGCAGAACAGGGAAGCTGTCTAGTCAAGTTGGCTCAAAACAACGTTGTGGTTTGCAGGCAAGGCCTGCACCGGCTCTTCCGTTCATATAAGCTGGCAGGATGTAGAAGCAGGATCCTGATCGAGCCACTGCTTCAGAGAACCAAAACAATTTACCTTGACTTTCTATCCTGTTAAGCTTGGAGTTGGCAGGAATTGTGTCTAAATGAACCCAAGACCTTATGATGGTCCCATTGAGGACTATCAGAATATCCACAAAGCCGCTCTGATTCTAGAAAGGAAGCAGTCTTTAGAGGGGCATGAAGGACAGACAGAAGCTGGACTGGCAATAAAAATGGCAATAATAACCGCAATAGCTGATGTTTTTAAGTGTTTTCTATGTGTTACACAAGCACTTAACTCCCATTAATCTCATTTAATCCTCATGATAAATGAGAGGCAGGGACAATTATGTCCATTTAGAGATGAGAAAATGGAAGCCTGAGAAAGGTTAAATAAGTTGCCCAAGTCATTCACATGGTAAATGATAAGAGTCTGAATTAAAATCCTGGCTGGCTGGCTCCAGAACTGACGCTCACAGCCCACTCACAGCCGGCTAGGCTAGAAAGCCTCTCACTGTCTACGGCTGGGTAATACAGCCACATTCTGATTTCCAACTTGACAAAGCATAAAACGTTAAATATTACTTGCCAACTATGAGAAACTAACAAGGGGGTGGGGGGGCACCAAGTTTAAACAGAAAGCTAACTCTGAGGTCAGCCACTCATGAGTCATGAGATAATCCAGGCTCCACCTCCCTGAAACGCCACGACCTCTACACGGCAGCCTCGCAAAGAACATTTCTCCTGGCTGGGCCTTGATTCTTTCTGGGAAATGATCTCACTACCTGCCTCTGAGAGTTACTGTGGCACACAGTTAATGCTGGATTTGCCAGGTCACTATTTCAGTCAGGAGCACATCCCACACGGAGGCCTTCTCTGACCACTCTTCCCAAACTGCTCCCCCTCCTCCTGTGCTCAAAGCCCTGCTCTGCTTTACGGCTCATCCCCACACTACTCACTATCACTAGCTATGGTGTTGGTAGGTTGAGTTATTTATTACCTGTCTTCCTTCACTAGAATGTACAGTCTAGGAGAGAATAGACTTTGCCAACCTGTTTGCTGCTGTTTCCCCAGCATCTAGTCAGAAAAACTCAGCAAATATTTGTGGAATGAATACATTTTCATTCAACAAAACTAACAAACAAGCAGAATTTCACTCAATAAGCAGGCCCTGTTCATTTGATAAATGAGCAGCTAGAAAGTAATGAAATGAACAGGGTTTTTTCAGGTGTCAATAGTTGTGGAGATTTATATACACGCTGGTGAAGGCAACTTTCCAGGTGCCGGGTCAACTGGGACCCAAATGATTGCCAGGAGCCAGTCATGTGACAATCTGGGTATAGAGCACGCGAGGCAGAGAGAACATAAGCACAAAAGCCAGGGTGACAGCTCACCCACAGCCAACTGAGCCCAGGGAATGGCACAAGAAGCCGGACACACAGGAAGGGGCCGCGTTCTGCAGTGTCACTGAAGTCATAAAGAGCGGTTTGTGTTAAGGATGACGGAAAATGAGCGGAGAGTATCTCCAATCTGAAAACATTACATTACTGGATCTCACTTTATGAGATCCAGGATTTAATTTGTGGCACAAACCAGCTGGTCTCCAAGCATTTGCTGAATGAATGAACTGGATGAAATGTGAAGATTATGAAGAGGGAAGTGACATGATCTAATTTTCACTTTCAAAATATCACTCTGAACTGTTCCTCGTGGTTACTTTCTCAGAGGGGACAGGGTAGCAAGGGATGGGTAGAATCACAAACAGTGCCATTATTTGAGCGGTGCATAAAACGGGGGGAAAGCTCCTCTCTATACCTTGAAGCCATTGGTGTTTTAAAATAAGGAATAGGAAAAGGTTAGTTATAGGCCAGTTTAAAACAATCAAATAAATGACAAACCAGTGTCATAAGCCTTTCATGTTTTCTAAGCTATTAAAAAACAATAACAAAAAACAAACAAAAAAACCTGCTACTATCTCTATCTCACCTATGAAAAAAAGAACAAAAAAGAAACTCAGTCAGACATACACACACATTTGGAGAAAAAACTATAAAAGAAAAATCACCTTCCTATATCTGAGCACAATCAACAGTCTCATTTTCTCAGGAATAATTAATACTTGAATCACACACAAAAGATCACTTGGGGAGATACTGTTTACAGTAAGATTTTGAGGGGCAGACTGTCTTTGGGAGGAGTTATGCTGTCTACAAAGAAAGAGGAATAGGTGCCATAGAAGGAATCAAGTTTTAAAACACCACTCCTTTCTTATCTACCTCTCTCCCTCCCTCCCTCTCTCTCTCAGGTCACTTAAAAAAAAAATACAGAGTAAATTACAGTATAATTCTAAGATGCACATCAAAGTTCTAAAAATCCTACCAAAATAACCTCAGGATATTTATTACAGAGTATCTGTTTACAAGGCTAAAAACCCTGAAAGTATGCATGAAATACAGGTTTAGTTGAAGGTTGACAAGGATCATTACTCCCGAAAAAGGAGAAGAGTATTCAGGTTCAAAGAAACTGGTGACGCAAAAAAAAAAAAAAAAAAACTAAAAATGTTCTAACCTTTAATATATTTTAAAAGCTTTATAGTCTAAAAGAACTGCACCTATTAAAAAAAAAGAGGAAGAGGCCCTCCCTGGTGGCGCAGCGAGCTAAGGCACAGCACTGAGAATCTAAAGCCACCTCCGCATGAGTTCGATTCCTGCCTGCCCCGGAGGTGACCACATGGCGTGGCAGACCTCTCCTGACCCGCCCGCTGCTCCCCTCAGCAGTGTACTTTGTCGATCTGCCTGTTCTGCTCCCCACTCTGTCTCTGGCGAGGCCTCTCGCCGCCCCT